GCACATCATTCGTTATATCAGGGATACATGTTACCAAGCTTTATTCTTCTCCGTTTCTACTTCATTTGAGCTCCGGGCCTAGAAAGACTCCGATTTTGTAAGTAATCCAAGTGATCGTAAATTTACCACAGGATTCTACATTTTTCTCGGTGATTCTCTTATCTCTTGGAAAAGCAAGAAACAAAAATGAATAGCTAAATCAAGTATGAATGCTGAATATCGGGTTATGACACAAACTACCACCAAGATTGTCTGGCTACGTTGCTCGAAGACATGGGTATCACTATTTCTACTCCTACTCCACTTTATTGTGACAACAAGAGTACTATTTACATTTCAAAAAATCCGGAGTTCTATGAGTGTACAAAACATATTGAAGTCGATTGCCACTATGTTTGACAATAATATCTAGCAGGCATAATTTTCGTACCATATATGCCCACCGCAACACATGTCGCCAACTTCTTCAATAAGTCTCTTCCCCTGTATCCTTTCTCACAATTTGTTTCCAAACTCTCCATGATTCCTTTAAAATCATCTAGAGTTTGTGGGGGAGTGTGAATAGATATGACAACTACAACAGATATGGCAACTGGATATTATGATCTGTCAGTGTCTAATTATATACTAGACCTATATAGAAACTATATCCTATAGTTTTAGCAAGTATTAGTTGTACCCTCTTTATAAATCCACAATTGTATTTTATCTAATTTAACTCATTGAATACAGATAAAGACTGTTTCTCACATCACTTACTTAGAACTCTTTTTCTTTGTATTTTTTATTCGCTTGTTATTTCAAACAAATTTTTGATAAATTTAGATTTTTCCCTCAAAATTCATGCAATATATTCTCTTGGCTTTGTAGTTCTAAATCTAGAAATCAAACGGTTTTTTCTCCAATGCTATCTAACATGAAATAGGGGTGGCAACAGGTCTTGTTTGGTCCGGATGTTGATATTGGACTCGAATACTATTTGGGTTCGAGACCTAGGTCGGGTCCTGGGTCCATTGCCACCCCTGCATGAAAATGGAGGGGTTGCCCATAGGCAACTTCATATGAGGCTATTTTGGTGGAGAGGCGGTGGGTGCTACAACCAATGGAAGCCATTAAACCCGATGTTTGGATTTGGTTGATACTAAGTACCATAAGTAAATCTTCACACGTTTGTTGACCAATTTAGTTTGCTTGTTAATTTCGAAATGGTGCAATGAACTAACTTTGAACTAGGTACTCTACAACTTAAGAAATCCATGATAAAAATACTCAGGGAAATATCATCGCTCTTACTCAAATTGGAGCTTGGCAGTCCATGTAGCTTAAAATATATTATCAAGAAAAATTGAGAAATTACAACAACAGTAAATGGGTGTGATAGAGGAGAAAAGTGAGCTTGCTTACTCATATGGGCACCCACCTCTAATATGATGAGACTTTCTATAAGATTTGGTGGCTCAATGAATTCCATTGAAATATTAAGGTTGTTTTCGATGAGGTTCAAAAAAGGCAAGAGATATGTCCAAAATGATATGGTTAGAAGTGGTAAGAAGAATTATGGTCTCATTGAGGATATGACCCTTAATTGAGCAAAATGATGAATAAGGATTCGTGCAGCCGACTCCAATTCGTTGCGAAAAGATTTTGATGATGATGATTTGTGTTTGTTTTTTTTCCTGGGGGCAGTTTTTGTTGGGGGGGTGTTGCAGCTATCCCTTAGTAGTCTAGTGATTCCCCCGATTTGTTAGTACCAAACGTCACATTTCTACAACAACAAACTATTTGGTGTCATGCTTAATCTCATTTCAATAGTATGTTTAGGGATCCTAAATGCCCCCACAATCAGTGTCTCATGTAACTCATTTAGTATCTAATATTTCCAAGATGAAGTAGCTCATTAACTGTTGTATTTGGGTTTGCCATAGGACCCTCTTCAATGACATCTGTCTAATTAGGTTGAGGTAAGATATAACAATGAGAGAAGAGTGTTTCTCATGGAGAGGTGAAGAGCATATGCGGTTACTTTCTCCTTCTCTTTTCGAAAGAGAATTTCGTAGTTATACCCCATGGGCTTGATTACTTGAGAGTCAAAGTTACGAATTCCACAAAATATTTGAGACTGTGATGATTAGTGTAGATAATAAAGCATCATGCTACTGAGCACAACATCCATTTACTTAGGGCATGGATAATTGCTAACATTTCCTTCTTATACATGGACATTGCCAAAGTTTTTCTTGATAGTTCATTGCTGAAAGCAATGTTATCAGATTCGCTTCATAAGCCTCCTTGGTATGATCTAAAGATGGATGTACTTCGGTGCTTTAAACAATTTGGGGAAAGCTTGAGAATATTTTAAAAGAATAAAAACATTACACGTTTGGTTCACATGAAAATGTTTTCTAGAAACCATTTTCACATAAAAAAAAATCTCTCATGTGATCAAGTATGGGAATATTTTTACATCAATTAGTTGCCTATTAATGTAAAAAGATGCACTAAGACCAATTGGTATAAAAATATTCCCACATTGCACCATATGAGAGGACTTTTTCATGTGAAAATGTTTTCTAGAAAATATTTAAACGTGAACCAAACGTTACATTCCTAATCACGTAGGCATTTTTTAAAAGAAATTAATTTTTTTTAAGAAAATCAAGACTTAAACAAATTACTTACACCCATTTTTGTTACATTTGCATAAAAGGGGGGTAGAGAGACCGCAAATTTTTCTTTTTTTTTTACTCAATTTAACAAAAATACTAAAAAATTTGTAAGTTAGACTTTTATTTTAGTAGTTTTCCTTTTTTCTTATTTATTGTAGCGAGAGAGTGTACTGATCTATTTTTTAAGAGAAAGTGTGATAATTTTTATATGAAAGTATATTATGAGATCATTTACCTTTAGTACAAAGTGGTCACAATAAATCTTGGCCATCGGATGTCAAATTGGGTGGCTGCATTTATTTCTTTGACCAAGCTCAACGTTCAAAAGAATTTTTCTTGAACTTTGTGACTCAAGCTATCAGATTTCACATCGGATGGTTGTAAGTAATTGTGACCTCCTTGTTCCAAAGGTAAATGGTCTCATTGTATACAATTCCAATTTTTATTTTAGAGAGACTACATATATTTTTGCACATTAATATACTTAATAAATGAAGGATACGGTTTATATGGGTCCCCAAACTCATATGTAGAAATGTGCCCCCCCATAATAATCCATTTATGAATTAGATTTTGATCCTAATTTTGAAAGAATATGAAATCCCTAACATGGTTAAAAAAATAAATTTTAAAAACTAAAAAAGATAGTCTTTTTTTGAAGGAAATTTTTAAGTCATTTATTTTTATGTTTTTGTAAAAGGAATCTTTGGTCGGATGGTATGTGCCGTGGGATGCAAATGTAAGAATGTGTTCCCCGGTGCTAAACGCTTTTCCACGAATGAATACATGGATATGGCACGTCAATTTAATATTTTAATTTTGTCTTACATAAATCACATCTCCACATTAAAGTGTCGGATTGTCCGTCGCTTTGCCTCGGTGGTTGGGAAACCCGAAGTAGTGTTTAATTGCACAAACCGGCCGTGGAAACCGGTCATGGGCCGGGTCGGGGAACCCAGAATCATTTTTCTTTCGTTCTGCTCAATTTCAGTTAGTCCTCTCTTCCCTCAAGTAGAGTTAGATGCAAGTAAAATGATAGCTAATTTCCTCACAAAATCAAGGTGGATGGATAGATTTATCATGAAATCAATGCAGAGAGAGAGAGAGATTTATTTCACAGGGGAATCAAGAGGGGAGATCTGAATTATGGTCCACAAGAGAGATATGAGAAAAATATAATGAGCACTCTGCTGTTTTGTAGCGAGTTTGTGACCCCACTAACAAATAACAAGTAGCTTGTGGAGGGCCACACACCTTTTCCCAAGTGACACTTTCCAATACACAATCAAACATCACCCAATCATCTAATCAAATGGATAAGAAAACAAAGCAGAACCATCCATATAAGATCGTGGACCAATCTATTCAACCTACTACATGGTTTATGATAAACATAGAGATAAACCTATAATAATGGAATATTTGGATTTTCATTGGGTTCTTAGAATTGGGTCATTTGGCTTTGTTTAGGGTTTGTAGGGTGCATCACAAATATCCTATGCTCAAATCCCACCTAATCAACCCATAGAAAGAGTGGAGGAACAATGGTCATTTATGCAGGGCTTGAAAACTTCCAAGTTTCCAATTTGAACTTACTCATTATCCTTTGGACCGGTCACCATCAGTTGAGCATTCAAGCTCTTAGTAACTAGCAAAAAAATCTCGTGTTACTTCATGATGTGGCACAATTGTCCTATTCTAGGGTCGTAAATTTATGAGCTGTATTTTATTATTATTATTAATGAAAAATGGGTAGGGGCCTTCTCCCCCACTGACTAACCAAAAAAAAAAAACCAGTAAAGAAATCAGTACACCATGATCTAAGTGTAATGGAGAGAGAGAGAGAGAGAGAGAGAGAGAGAGAGAGAGAGAGAGATAGTGTAGAGAGTACGTAGTAGTACGTACGTACGTAGTATTTACTTTCCTTACTTACTCGTACTAACTAATTTATTTTAGTTAGTTATTTAATTTAGTTTTA